CACCAGCACACAAAAAAGTCTTTGCGATTGATGACAATAATCGCTTATTAGCGGTGATGATAACCACTTTTTCATAAATTCTTGTTTTGTTTGCTCAAAGGCTTCATATTCATTAACTGTACTTCCAATGGGACACACATATCAAAGTGGGTGTTTAAAGAGAATAACAGCCTGTGTAGTGACCCAACAACAGCAGTCCCAACAACAGACACACACAGAACTGTGGGTAAGGAGACAGATTCAGTTAAACCCTCCACTATTTACACATCCTCCAATCAAACCAACACTCTAAGCACAGAGGAGCCTTGGTTCATTAGTAAGTGAAAGCCAACTCTGCAGCAGTTGTTTTATTAGAGTATTTCTCTCTTCAATGTTTGTTGTCATCATGAAACAAAGAGCAGTGTTTGAAGGATGTGTGTGTCCTTTGTCTTCCCTCTTTAAACAGAGCATTTGTGGGTGATACTGGGTGCGCTCTCAGCACTGGTAATTCTCTTGGTCATTGGCATAGTAATCATCTGTGTTCAAAAGAAGAAACAGAACAACAGAGGTGGGAAAGAAAACGTCTGGTCTGCACTTCCTGTTTTTGCTGTTTTTCTTGTTTTAAAAAAAAAAGTCACAGCTCACAATGTTTTTGCAAAATAATCATCACGCTTTTTTTGCTGATTAGGAGAAGAAGAAGAAGATGATCAGGACATAATCTACGCGGATGTAAGGATGGTGCAACGGCAAGGGAGGCGGGTGGAGCAGCGGGCAGAGGTGGAGGTGGAGTACGGCCAGGTCAAGTTCTCAAAGCGGCCTCCACGGGCCGAACCAGCAGCCGATGAGTCTGTGTATGCAAAGGTTTGTAAAGTCAGGTGATTTGAAGTATTAAGCAGGTCGACTACTACAAAGGCAGGGAGGCCAGTTCATCTAGAGGGACCTTTTATACAATTAAAAGGTTGAAATAAACAGAAAAGCTTAAACCTCTGTCACTATTTACTTTCATTGCAAGGTAGAGGTTGACACACAGCATTGAGTCTTTCAGAATGGGACATTTTGTGTTATTGTCCCTGTCGTTTACCTTTGAATATTAAGATATTTGTAATTTACCCTTTTTTTTAAAGAAATGTTTTTATTGTAATTTCAACTAGTTTTTGTTTGTCATACACATTGTAATGGCAGTTTCATAAAATACATATTTTCTTTTTAATTGTTACATCACAATAAGTGATGATAAATTGAGGAATGCACTTTTGTATAGCAAATATTGAATGTTTTCGCTGATGACTGTTTTCTTTTTTTTTATAATTTTATATAAAGAATGACATTTTCAGTTTGTTTAGATCAAAATGTATTTATTCATTGGATGTCTTTGAATTTAGCCACAGTATGTTAGTAGATGCAAATGTTTATTTTGGTACAATTATTTTTTGGTTGACTTCCTGCCTAAGAAATAATGCAGAAACTGGTGAGGCCTCCTTACTATGGGCCCCCAATGAAATACATTATATCTTTTCAGGAACATATGGTAAGTTTATACCATGTCAACCTTACTTTTTTCCTGACATTAGAAAGATAGGCATCTAACAAACCTTTCAAATCATACCAAAAATAGAGACAAAAATCATTTAGTTTCCGTAACAGTACATTTGATTTAATCCATTCGAATAAATAAACACACTCTTTCAAGAAGGTTAATCATTGGCTCAAAATCTTTTCCACTTTGCATTAATTCAAATATGTTAGCATCTGAGTCTTTTATGTGCACTTTTCCTACACAGAGTCTGAGCTAAATGGAGAATTATATACTAATGGTAGTTTGCAACTTATCAGGTGATCTTTTCTATATTCAGTTGAATTATTTTCTTGTATTTGATAAAATGGTCCAAAATCTTTGCAATTAAATGTTGAAATGTTGATATTTCAATATGCACTACTAAGCTACCTGGTGAAACAGGTGACTTTATCAGCATGGGATCCTGTCAGTTGCTGCATTCTTACAACCTGCAGTTTTGGTTCTGTCTTGTCATTCATGGTAGGTTTTTTTATTCTGAGCTTCTGTTTTACATTGGTCATGTGCTCAAACTCTACATGCAAAGTTTGCTTTCTGTTGGTGTAATCAACAATTGATGCTTATGTAGGTGTTTACCTTGATAGATTAGGGTTAAAGGTTAACAACCCTTCCAATGTTTAACAGGGCCATAAAATGTTTATTATCTTGGAAAATTTAAGTGTCCCAAAAAAATCATATTTTTTTTCTGTAAGTTGTGAAGTTACTTCTACCTTGAAGAGTGCTGTAACATGAAAAAAGTAAATGTTCAGTTCATTGTCAGATCTGAGTGCTTTTATATATGTAAGTTAAAAAAAACAAATAAATGTAACAGTTGCTTCTTCACTCTTGATTGGCAGAAATTCAGTTATTTTTACTCCAAAGAAAAGTGGTTTTATCCTGTCATGACACTTTCATGTGATTCTGCCATGCCTTGCCAAAGTTATTAAACCATAAAAGAGGAACTGGTGCAAATTCCACTGGCTTAACTGAATTCAAAAGCCTGGCAGAAGAGTTTATCCAGACAAAAATTCAAGAAAGACGACAGCCTGAGGTCATTGAATTAACTTCATGTTTAAATGTGATCATTAATCTATAAATTCATTGTACAAAGATGGAATGTTAATTTCATTATATAAACACATTAGCGGAACAGGCTACTGCCGATTTTTTTTTAAATCAAAGTGGCTTTAGGTTAGAATCCTTCCTCTTTTGAAATGTTGCTCGAGATGACAAAAAATCAGAAGACAGACACCCAACTTGTGTCTTGAGGCCTGAGCAGAAAACACAGACAATCGATCCTCATGCAGCTCAAAACTGTACACTCAAAAACATTTTATACAAGTACATTAACCTTTAAGTACATCAACATCGAAGTTGATTTGTCAGGGGTTTGACATTGACAATTGACAAAGTAAAGTGGTATTTTGGTGTATTGTGTAATTGACAATACATTTTTTCAATAGCTTGCTTTTTTTAAAGTCAGGAAGTTGTCGAAGGGCTTTCACCTTTCTTACAGAAATACTTATTTTTCACATCTAGTTACAGTGAGCTGACAAACTATAGAGAGAGAGAGGAAAAAAAATGTTTCCATATAAAATACTCAATAGCCAGCCCACTGCTGACTGTCTGTACTTTCTGTCACAGTGACTAAACATTGCATGTCAAGTTGTTGAGAAATCTTCTGTCTTTCAGCATGTAGCTGTATCTGACTGTCTTACGCCAGGGTCAGTTCTAAACACACCACACCCTTCGCTTTTATCCTCTATCAATTATCTATAAAAATAAGACGAGTTTTGAAGATAAACATTTTCACCAGTGCTTTCACATAGTAATAAACAGCTGCTAGCAATAAATATCACTCGAATAATGTGCTCCTAAATCAAACTATTCATACTTTTAGAAAATATTGATGGAAATATCTGCTCTTTTCACTCTCTATACTACAGAGCTTACTTCCCAAACGCGTGAAAACCATTGTTTGATACATATTTTGAATCCTCCACTGGTATGGCATATCTTAAATTAATACCTACACCTAACATAAAAAAGTAGCTTTTGATCCTCCTTTCACTTAATTTGTTCAGCTGACAATCTGTCCCCATAGCTGTTGTAAACTATACTGCCATTTTCTCTCCCCTATACAAAAAACCTGAATATGTTTAATATTTGTTTCCAATTCATACACATTTTCCTTCAGCTGAAGTTAGAAGAGAAATTCTTTGCTTCCTGTTGATGTAGCAAAATTGCAACACTCCAAAATATTTAACCTCTTCATTAAAAACTGTAAAAGGCTTGTGCAAAAGTTAGTTTAATTTATCAACCCTCTATGAAACAGTGGCATGCGTGGCCAAAAAGTGAAAGGAGATGCTGTCTTGATTAAGTTATAATCAAGACAGCATCTCAGTAAAATCAGGTAATAATCAGTAATACCTCGTGAACTTCAGTTGCAACTGACCAACACTCACCAGAGTCATTCATTGCAACATGTGGAGCTTGGCCTTGTAAAAAGGCAGGAGGTGCAGCAAAAGTGAGTGATTATTCATTGTGAAGAACTTGTTAAAACAAAGCACTGTTTACACACTGAATGTTGTGTCCGTCTTGCATTTGAAATCCAGCTAAAATTCCTCGGCTTTTATATCGGACACCATGCTGGAGCTTGTGCCGGAGCTGGTGGGGATGTGAGTGTTGGTGAGTCCTCCCAGCACGGGTGGGGTGGGAGATGTTGTGGAGGCCTGGTGGGAATGTTGCAGCTTTTTCCTGTTGATCTTTCTCTCTTTGGCGCGTCTGTTCTGAAACCAGATCTTCACCTGTACAACACAAATGTGACAACACTTTAATGTATTAGTTACGAACTCCTAAACAGAACTAAAATACACCCATTAAGAACCAATGACTGGTGTGACACATTTATCATGTTAATAGTGAGTACAGCGATTTGTTGTACCTTTGCAAGTCAGGTGGTCCCTCTCCTTTTTACCTTGGAAATTGTCAAAAGCTTCTCAAATTTATTTTACTACGGTCACAGAACACTTGGCTCTACTCTGGAAAATGATCATAAGTGGCATAATTTTAACTTAACTGTGGGTAAATAAAGTGACAGAAACTGATATGGAAAACTTGGTTGACAATTAAGTTTTGTTTTCCTATGTGACAAAAGACCACAGCAAAAATCACTATATTAGGATATTTCTGTGTCTTGTTTTACAACGAAACAGGAAATGTCTGAAAGAGGAAATATAGTAGTAAGCTATTTTCTGAACAGAACACACACCATCTGCATTTACTGTGTGAAACCCTTTTTTCTGCAAATGAAGCCAACAGAAAGAACTTGAGCTCAAGCTCAGAGCTTCAGATCAAGCTATGCTGTGTTTTTTAATATTTTTGTAAAAACGAGTAGCGAAATAATAGTGTTGAAACAGAAATACAGAGTCTAAGTTTGATTTGTTTTGTCTATATTCACTTGATTCTAACTCTGAAGTATTTTTATTTATCTTCTTTTTAACTTTTGGTAATTTCCGCTGTGTCCATCTCATTACAGGATGCTTTCGTACATCCACTTTAAACCTCTCTTCTCTCACCTGTCTCTCTGAGAGGCTGAGTGCCATCGATAGTTCAGACTTCCTCCTCATTGTGATGTAACGGTTGTACTGAAACTCTTTCTCCAGCTCCAGCCGTTGGTGGTCAGTGTACACCACCCTGTACTTGTCCTTAGTGCGAGTTTTCCCTCCTGAATTGCACAAAACATGATTTTTTTTTGTGAAAAAATGATGAAAGCACAATCTAGAAGGGATAAGGAAAATACTTAATATCTGCTTGCCCCTAATATGTATTTGTCATGTATTCATCACTTCCTGTAACGCAAGCAGGAATTAATGTGTCAGCGAGTCACGTGCAGTGTGGTCAAACATGTCTGGAGCCATGTTCAAGTTCAGGCGCCACTTAAATCTTCATTAGCACTATTAATCATGCTAAATCTAACTAATGTAAAGACTCCCCTCTGCCTTGAGTCAGTGTTCCTCCTTATCGTAGCCAGAGATGTTTACATAGGTGTTTACACTGACGGCTATTCATTGACACAAATGTGCACATACACATACTCACTGTGAGAGGTATTGATTAGAAAATTTGACTATGTGACAACATTGATCGGAGCAAACCAACGCACACATGAGGGATTTTAAGGGTTTGCCTTTAAGTCAGACTTGGTTGGTCTACTTCCTGCACAGACAGTGTTATCTATTCAGTTCGTCACTGCTCTGCACCCACCCAGTTGTAAGGGAGGGCAGGGAGCCAGACTTCACCCGCTCCACTGTTAGCACTGCATTGACATCTCAAACCATGCTGCCGGAAGGGCGAGTCTGACAGTATGATGAATGCACGAATGGCTGGCCATGTTTACTGTGTTGATGTCTAGGAAAATGTGCTTTATTCTTTAGTCTGCCCTCTGCTCCACTGCATCAGTGTTCTCTGTGCCGTGAGAAGTCAGTATACTGATGTTTTTCCTAACAGGTTAACTTGTTGACATTTAGGGTATCTTATGGGCTGTGTGATCAGCCCCCCAAACAAGGCCAGTGGATGGTAAATATGTAAACACGGAAGAAGTTTATCGCCTTGTTTTAAGGTGTTTTATGTTGGAAATATAACTTAACATTAGTAAAAAATAAACAAAACAAAAAACAAACTGAGAAAACACTAAACAGACTGTAGTAGCCTATGTCCACTTTCAGAATGACCTACCTGAGATTGCATGCGTAATGGACTCAGGTGGTCTCCTCCTGGGGCTGAACGGATCCTGGGCAGGTGTGAAGTTGTACGTGTGGAGCGGCCCCCCTCCTGCGGCGGAGGGTGCGCTGATCAGGTCCGGGGAGATGTAGTTTACCTGCCCGGGGCCGGGGCTCGACCCGGAGAAGCTGTACGGGTAGTCCTCCCGGGAGGCGTAAACGGAGTTCCACGCGGCCGTCGACGGGTCAACGACTCCCGAGGCGTGATGGTGATACCCGCCGAAGTCGTACGCGGGCGGAACGTACTGGCTGTTCAGGGACAGCGTCTGGGCCTGGTGCCTCACCGACTGAGAGTTGGGGTACATGCCGGCGTCCTGGTTTTTGTCCTGGCGGGGTGATTCTCAGGTGGACCTCGGTCAATCAAAGCTCGTGACGCATGGCAGGCCCTGGCGCGGCTGATGGCGCTCCGTCTCACCACGGTCTAAGGTTCATTCCCACCAGAGCCCGGCTACCTGTGCAGTAAGCCTACACACCTTTATGGATTTACTGCCAAGGAGTTCAAAAGTATCAGCGTGACGTCACGGTTTACCTGACACCCACCTGCCTGCTCGTCCTGGCGTCAGGGCCATGGCTCCGGTTTGCCCAGCCTGCTCTGAAGGGTCAGTGGGTGAGAGGGCCATGTTGTCAGGTGGATTCACCTGCACGAAGAACTCTGTGTTTCAAGGAAGAGTATACTCAGTGGTTGTAGAAATGTGACTAAAATAGTGTCTCTATATATTTTTCCCTTGACCTGCGTCAAGGCCTTTTTTGGAGTGATAACATGTCTCTAAACCCTTTTTTAAAACCTTTCTCTTCGTTAATAAAACCAAATTACATTTAAGGTGATTTGTATATATATTTTTCAGCTTGTATGCAACAGAAGATATTTATTTGTACATATATATTTAAATGTGTGCTTAAAGTATGTGACAGAAAACCCACTGGAAACCAAGTTATTTGCCAATAATGACTATTTATATAATTATTTACTTTAATTTTCCATCCTTAATGTCTTAGTATTGCTTCACAGTCAACTTCCATCTGAATTTTTTACAGAATAACCAGGTTATGACAATAGAAAATGTCCCATGCATCCATACCTTTGTCAGATTGTCAGAATTATTGCTCAAAGGCCAAGCATAATAGTTTTTATGCTGCTTTGTGATTTGTATGGTCACAGTGAAGTAATGCCAAAGTGAAAGTGAGAAGATCCACATCCACCCTATCCCACATGAGGGCAGCAGAAAGCTGAAATTGGACAGCTGCAATTCCAGGTCCAGAATCCTTTGCAATCTCAAAATTTACCCTGACAGCATGATGAGTTATCTTTAAAAGACAACACACAATACTTAACCGACATTTCTATGCATTCTCTATGTTGGAGTAATGTTGGTTGTTTATGAGTTTGTGTGCATCGAAGTCTAACAAACATTTATCAAACATTCATGCTCATATTATTGTCAAAACAGTCATTAGAAGCAAGCTATTAGCAATAACAGTACCCTGCACAATGGGAAAAGTGCAACATAAACATCCTATAAATAATTAACAAGGACATTAACTTAAAAGAAACTTGGCTGAAAACAAATGGACTTACAGAACAAATGAAGGCATGCATTATTGGTTGGGGGAGTGAAGTTTCTCAGAGCTTTATCCTGATGCTTGCACTAAAATCACCTCTGCCAAAAAAAAAAAACTGAGCAGGGCAACAAAACTCACTTGCCCAGCCCAGTGAGTTTGAACAAATTGAATTATTTGTTTAGTTCAGGTTAACAGGTGCAGCATGAACATGATGGCTCATCTCAAAGCTCAGTGAGGAGGATTCATAACAGGTATTTTTTGTATTTTCAAATGTTCCTTAAGCTTAAACGTGCTCACAAGTAATTAACTTCTCCTCCTGCCGTCCTCTCAGATAAATTACAGTCCACCAAGAGTCGGAAAACATCACCATGGAGAGGGTTTTACATTATTTAAATGATGTGTGGCATGAAAGCACCTTTTCATGAATCTTGTATTCAGGCTTTATTCGTTTTTTTCAATATAACTTGAGAACAAAAGAGGATCAGAATGGGAGTTTTTTGTGACTTTGACTAAGGTTCTAATGTTTCATTTAGTGACTCAAGTTGTAGACTTTCTTTCATTTGCACGTTATTTGAATCTTAAAACTGAGATAGGAAACGTCTTGATAAAATCTGATCAAACACACAAACCCAAAAGCTGGAGAGAAAATGTGTTCATCACAACTTTGATGAATAGTAGGTAATCCAGCAACACTGCGTTGTTGTACATGGTTAGTGTTTTGTATGATTCAGAAAAACAACAAATTCTCATATAGTAAGAAGTGGAAGAAAATAATTTGGGTTTTATTGGTAAAATAACCTCCCAACCTGAACCTTGGGCTTTTTTGCAAGTCTACACACTTTAAACTGTTTTTGCCCTGTGAAGTTTTTTTGCGAGTCGCGGTTGTTCTTCCTGTCAGAGATTGTCTCGAGTGAAAACATCTGGATCAGCCCCTTGAGGAGGAGGAATCCTACTCTAACAGGAGTAATCAATACAGCTCAAAGTAGACGTAACTCCTGATAAAAAAAGACTGTATCCGCCTTCATCCATCTTCATCTATCAGAGGTGAGCTGGCCTCATTCTCTGTGCTTTCACACTTCTTCCCCGTTCTCCCCCTCCCTCCCACTGTGAGATAAGTTTAAGCCTCATCTAAAACCGAGTAGAAAAACAAAATTTCATCAGCATTCAGAGTGGTTACACTGGTCACACTCTGGTTACAGCATCAGTTGACAGCTGCAGAGAGAGAAAACCACTCTTCACTTGCTCAGAAAGGCTCAGCATAGTTTCGAGGCCGGTTTTCAGAGGGCTGCACCGAGCTCTGCGGCCAGATATAGAGCAATAGACGACCCCTTTGTGGTCTCTCTGTCGCACTTCATGGTAACAACATGCTAAAATTATCCATGATAATAAGATGCATGAAACCTTCCTAAGTTTCTGCTTCCTGTTTTGCGCTGTGGTCCACAGGACGTCCAAACAGATCACAGATGATGGCAGATGCTTTTTTATTTCTATATCTGTCTGTCATGCATATTACATTAATTTGTGCTTGCATTTCCGAAACATTTGGAATTCAGTTTACGGGTATGGAGCAGACCTATTAACTGGAAGTCTTAACCCAATAGTCAGAATCAGACATTGAGGAGTGGTGTTGCTCTCCTCCTACCTAATAACCGGGGCTGCACTGGCTCTCTAATTACTTCTCGTTGGGCTTTTAGGTTTACTCTCACAATTAAAGGAGAACATGTTACTGTCCAATTTAGCCCATGATCCCTACTCCCCTCTGTCTACCCCAAGCTGCTTGTTAGAGAGAAAAGGCCTTCGTCAACTGTGAGGTCCATCCCTTCATGTCCTGGGAAAGGATGAAATTAGGAAGGGAGCCAATATTTAGGACGTGTTGTGCGGATGCATGTCTTCGAAAGAAAGAGGATGAAAGAACAGACAAGAGACAAAGGGGGTGATAACAGTAGGAGGTATTTAAAATGCCAAAAGAAGAAAGACATTCATTAGATTTTACGCAAGAGTGGAAGCAAGAAAGATAGATTCACTTAAGGGTAAGCTTTCTTGTTTTTAAGAATTTTTATACCCCATTCTAGTAGTGTTATTATATAAGTTATTTTCCTGAGAAACTGAGACTTCCATGTTTGTTTCCAAAGCAGGCCACCATAAGCTCTGCCAAAAAAGCTTTTTCTTTTTTTCTGCCTCAACCTCTCACTCTTTCTCTTCCTTTTCATTGTGTTTGTTGTTTTGGAGAAGGGCTAGACGCGGTCCAGATTGCTGTTGCCAATAGAGACAGTCTCAGTTCACCTCCAGTGGCTCGCCTCTCCATTCATAAACAAATCTATCCAGCTCGGGACCTCTGAGCTGCTACCTAAGGACAACAAACAGAACCTGATCTGTGTTTTGAAGTGTTTTACCTCTGCCTCTTCTTTCATTTTCTTTAAACTGGCCTCTGTTGCGTTTTGCTCTGCCCACTCCCCCCTCCCTCCCTCCCTCCCTCCCTCCCTCCCTGCTCGCTCAGCTTCAGCTGGGCCGGACCACTGACACTCTCCTCTGTGTGAGTCTGTCAGGGAAGGAGTGTGTGTCTGCATGTTTCCACCGGGAACATTCTTTCAGAACTTACTCCACTCTTTCAGAGTGCTGGGCAGACTTTTTTGTGAGAGGGGAGAGAGACCCCCATGGTGCTGTGATTTGACTAAACAAACAGCCCGTCTCAGTGCGGCACCTCCTCCCAGCGGACTCCGGGGACACCAGAGATTAACCCCAGACTCTGAACATCTGAAGGATCTGTACTTTTGGAGCAGCAGCCCCCGTAGAGCTGACCGGCCGATTTCCCTCCGCTTGTCGGCAACCCTCTTCTACAAGGAGGGGAGACTCATCTGAAGGTAAGATGTGTAACATGTCTGTCACTACCAGCAATTTTCCTGTTAGTCACGGCTGCTTGGCAGCTGTCTCCAGATGTGAGGATGTTCTGTAGCTGAAGTTCACCCGTGGTGCCTGGGAGTACCTCTGTGACAGATTTCATTTCACAGCTGTCCGACACAGAGGGGATGCACCTCACCCCGATCTCACTGGGCCCGCGGTTCTGATGACTTGTTGAACTTAAACCATTCAGACGTTTAATCGGGGCCGAGCGGCTGTGAGCGACCATCAGCTCTGCTCCGTTGCACAGTGTTGTTGTTCTTAACTGTTCTGGCGTGTGTGCTGGTGGTGTTCGTTGCCCACATACTTGAATGTGTACACACAAAGCATTACAATGTGGCAGAGTTTGAGCAACCTGTTCAAACAACAGCATTGTGATGACTTGCGTCTCTGTACATAGTGGCAGTTTAACTCCTTCCAACCAACAACTTTAACAATGTTTATTTTCTTGCTCAGAGACAACATTTGACAAGGTGTCACTGTGTCTCTCACGCACACAAGCACCCACTGGGCTTCACAGCGCAGCCTGTTTGTATGCACGCCACTTTGTGCTTCACTGCTAAAGAGCTTGTTTATACAGCCCTCTTTAGTCACCCTGAGCGAACTGAACCTCCTCCCCTGTGAATGGTTCCCTCAGAATCACTCTTCTCCACATACATATATGGAGGACCTGTCACCAATGTCCTCTTGAAGTGTTGATGTGTGTCTTTTCTGTGATTAAACGTAGAATCTGAAACTGAACAAAGCTTTATGTTTTGGTCAACCACCTTTGAAGATGCTTCTGGTAGCTATGTCTTGATGGGTAACCTGTCATTTCTGTCATCAAAGCAGAGGGTTTAGGTACCAAGTAAGTATGAGGTTATTACAGTGCGCATCATTTGATGGCTCAGACACATGTTTCACACATGTCTTTTCAGTCTCATTTACCATGTGCTTTGCACCTGAAGCTCTGTAATTTACGGCTGCTGTGCTATCTTGTTTGTCTGGTTTAACAGACATTCATCTTTTGGATCGCTCTTAAAGTTAGAGCTTCTAAATTAGCATCGGTTGCAATCAAAACAAAGTTGGCATGTGTTTTGCATGGGTTATTCTCCTCCTCTACATGCACAAGTTTGTGTTTGAAGTGTTCTGTGGCTCCTTGGATATTTTGGTCCTGGTCTGGCTGATGAATAGCTGCAAAACTGCATGCATGTCATACCTCAGCCATTAGCTGAATGAAATAATATCACATTCATTTCATGCCTCTTCCATCAGCTGAGTGTCTCCCGCTTATCTTTTTTTCCAACAAAACTGATTTAGAAACTGCGCTGATCTGGACCATCTTTTTTAGCTCAGTTGGAAAAAAACTCATCAAAGTTACATATCTCTCCTGACTGGGTCGGGATTTTCCTCCCCGTGCGTCAGACGGCTGGTATGTGCCGCAGCGCTGCTCCTCTCCACAGCCCTGATGCTGCACAGCCCGCTCGGCTCTATTCCCCTCGGCCTGGGCCTGATCCTTCGTCATCAGCTGTTTCCTGGCTCCCCCTGCATGCCAGCCACTACGAGGAAATGTGTTTCACATTATGACCATGCAGAAAACATGCCAGCAGTCTTACTCAGCTCACACGTGCTCCGCAGTAGAGATATGTAACAGTTTGAACTCTCAGCGGCGAGTTTTGAAACACGCTGATCCCATTCTGACCTCCTGTGATTTATCCCCCGTTTCACGAGCTGAACACACTGCTGCAAACCAGGGTTATGCTTTCTGGATGAAATACTGAGTTTGACCACTTATTTATAGCGGTTACACATCTTATCACATGATAATTGATGCACTGATTGATGAATGTATCTTTTCGCTGACTCATTTCCTGGCGGTCACTTATTACGTGACTCATTTTAAAGTCATTCGTATTTTTCAACTGAGCTGTTTTACTTCCATGAGGGAAGCAGTCTCAGGCCCCTCATCTTTACGCTCGAACCATTAAGCTTTAATGAAGAGCACGTAGCAGAGCAGTGATAAAGCAGGCCTGCTCATCTGGCCTCCAACCCGTTCCCCCCTTCTTTCCTTCCCACCCACTCAGGCAGAGCTGACAGGCAGCTGCATCTCATCTTCAGTCAGGAAATATGGCCACTCCTGCTGGACACGTAGTAGAGGAAACATTTATCTTACTGTGTCCTTTTTTCTCCCCTTTTTCTATAGTACCAATTTTTGGAAGACACTATTACTCAGGATACAAAGAAAGGCTTCATTTTCACACACTAGGCAGGGATGACATTTAAGGATGCAGAAGTAGTTTCTGAACACTTACAGGAATTTATTACGATGTTGAGGTATCGTGTTTGCACATAGACAAGGATGTTAAGAAACCTCTGAATACGGTAGGGTTGAGATGACAGCAGAATTAATGTCTAATGTCCAAGTTTCCCATTTCTCGTGCTCTGTTTATTTCGGACAAACATTCTATGCTCTAGTCTGACACCTAGTGGTTTATTAGGTCGTGTCATGCACCTTTAAATGGAGGTACTGAATTCTGCACTAGTTTGTCCACAAATGTGAAAGTTAAATTCTCTTTAAATTTTCAAATGTTACTACATTGAAATTAGAATCTGACGTATTGGATTTTTTTCATTTAGTGATAAACACTTAAATCATGTAATAGTGGTTGATATTTGTTCCTATAAATCGACCCTTAGAGTTGCTCACTTTTATCTTTATAGAGACCTCTAAAATACTCTTGTAAACATTTTGTATCTTCTGCCAAGTTACGTATGACATAAACAGTTCAGTTTGAGCTCTTATTCTACTTAAAAGCGGTTGTAATATGTTGCCTATTGTTTAATATTTTCTGTGAAGACTCATGAGGTTAGAAAGCCAATGGAGGCAATAAATGTTTACATCATTAAACGATTCCAATGTCCAAATCTCAGAAGGAACGAAAATAATTTACCTGAAGAATTTTCCTTTTCCTTTTTGCCTGTATGGTTTTCATATCATGAAGCAATCGTGAGCTCCTCCCTGAATTCATTACGAAAGGAGCAACACAAGTTTTCTGCAGGAAGTTTTGGTCTCCATCAGATTCTTTTTCTCTCTGGAGTTTGAACAGTTCTGTCCAACAAAAACACGTTGGAATTGGGGATACTCTGCAATGGGAAAGGAGGACAAAGAAAAACAATCTGCTGCTTTTACAAGATAAGAATTTTCTACCTAGTAGAAAATAGAGAGCAAGCTGATTTTTGTTCGGGCTGTTTTAGCTTCATCCAATTTCATTTTTAGCACAGCAAATGGAATTTAAAGTCAGTCAGTCCTAATTGTATTCAGATGTTTCAGTTCTTTTTTGTGTAAGCTCTGGGTGTGTACGCCTAGAAGGACTGGAAGTGTGAGTAGGTGTACTTCATTTCTCATGAAGTTTGCGGTCTAATGTCCTTTTTGTGTAAACTGACTGCGCAGAAATAAGAAAAGCTGTGGAAGATAGCAACAACTATCCTTAGGGTTAAACTATTTTCCCTACGGAGACATTATTTTCGTTGTATGATCACAAAAAATACTCTCTATCTGGGAACTGACACCTTCATATAGGGTCCCAAGTGAGTAAAGAATTAGACAATTAAACACATTTAACAGCAGCCATGTAAATCTGCCAGTCTGTAGTCAGAGGCATTTTACTTCCCCCCACCACAACTGAAACTGCATTTACAGCTCTGTTTGAAAGGGAGCAAACCGACATCCGCAGTTTCCCAAACACATGTTTCTTCAGCATGAGGATAGACTCATTTTGGTTTCTGAGATTAGACCTCACACACACTGTATCCAAATACTTAACCAAAAGAAACCAGATTTACGGAGGGAATAATAGTCGATCTTTTTTTAGGACTGATAGTTCAAACTTGAGATGGGATCAGTGCAGATTTAGTCTCTTCAGTTACAACATACACGCATTTTTGTGTGACAGTCTTTTAAAGTTCAGTGTCCAGCTGTGTAGCTGTGAAATCTAACTCAGGGTCAGTGCAACGGAGTCACAAATCTTGACAAACTATTTCTGTCAGACAGCTACTGTCATAACAAATGAAGACCTCTCTGCCTCTCTGGATGTTCTGGAGGTGGAAAAAATGCTCTACTGTGGAGAAATGCAGTCCATCTAAAACAAAAGAAAAGCACTTTAGATTAAAGGGAAGCGAGCTGACATTAGGCTGTTTGAACGGGTTGGCTCATAGTGAACTCCGGGCGTCATCACTTGCCTTTCTATTTCCCAGGACTGCAACAGGGTATTTTTCTGTTCCTCTGGTGGTTGTTTTGGTTTGCTGTCTTGCATCATTACTGTGTTTTTGACCACAGCAAGTTGATGTTTTTAACAAAAACAATACCTCCTCAGCACCAGATGGTTGAAAAGCAAGCCACTGGTGAGTGTCAATATCTAGTTGCAAGATATTTCCCTTTGGCTTGAGTTGAGAAGAAAAAACTCTGACCTATAAATTAGAAAAATATTAAACTTTTTGAGCAAAAAGTACACAAAACCCTTTTTGAATTATTGCCTGTTTCAGTAACCAGCAATAATGGCATCAAATATGAAGTAACTCTTATTCCAGACTTTTTACAGCATTTTTCGCTCACTTTTTTTATATTCATATGATTAATTTCCTTTTCAAATAACTTTGTTGTATTCTTAATGCTTTTCAGATGTTGATTTTAGCCTTAAATTAGACGGTCTTTAATTTAGACCATTTTTTTTTTCCGTTTTCGTGAGCTTGACTCAAAGCATTATTCTGAGACATGAAATATAATATCTCTTGGTGCCAGTTTGTCTGAAGGTAGATGTTTTGATATGCATTTATATGAAGCTTTTCTAATGTTATCGACTAATCAAAGTCTTACACACGCCTATACAAATAAACAGAGAACTTTTTCTTTTGACAGACCTTTTTTCCTCTTTAGATAACAAACATACTTCATTATATCTATCATGCAGGAGATCTCTATCTTGCCCAAAGGACTATTCAAGATGCAGATTGGAGGAGAAATTGACCTGACTATTAACATTCGGCTTTGTAGACAGTCTGCTGAAGTTTCTCAGCCTTCCATTAGAATAAAGCATAAATAAGCAGTGATGTGGTTTATGTAATTAAAAAAAAGATTTCACACTCCTTCATGAATTGGCTAACTGCCTTAAGAATTGACATCTTCAGGATTTAAAAAAGAAAGGTTTCTCGAAGGTACCACTCTTTGCTTCCTTTGAAGAGCATCCTGTTAATGTTATTTATGTAAATCCTTCAGAAACTCCTCAGGAAATGTGCCCCAAAGGTTCTTTGAAGGTCACTTTGTGAATGTCTTCAAAGATCTTTAGACAATCTTTAGGGAATATTTCCCCCAAACCAGCTATTTTTTTCCACTAGTGCTAGTTTCACATATCATGTTGGACAAGGCAAAGAATTGGCTTTATGGGGGAATGTTCAATGTATGGAGCAGCTGGTCAGCCCAAGTGCTGCATCCGTCCATTCAGAACGCAGCAAAACCAGAGCTTGTTCCAGCCAGCAACAAATCACCAAAAAACTAGAAACAAATCACGTATATGATGCTGCTTTTAATGTTGTTTAATGAAGTAAAATTCAGTGGAATAAATTGAGATGTCAGCTGTCATGTTTTAAAGTCAAGTCTAAAACCTTTTATGATGTAACCACTGAAGATTTTTCTGCCAACAGTAACTCGTATAATCTAAAAGTATGTTTGGGACATTTGTAAACGATCATGGCTGGATTTGAGTTGTCTGCAGCGTATCAGTCATTATTACAGCGCTGTCAGTGTATCGTCTCTGTTTTAGTCATGATGGACCCCGCAGCCGCCGGTTGGGAACAGTGCATTATGCATCTGCTGCGGAGGGACCAGAAGGCTTTCCTCTGGGGGAGCTGGGGCAGCTGGGGGGTGGTCAGTCCAAGATGAGTGATAAAAAAGGAGGTTTGTTTTAACAAAGACACACTGGGTCATTTTTTTCCCACAGAGCCCGCCAAAGCCCTGCTGTACTGAGATAGCCTGTCGTCCCTCTGAAAACAAAAACTAAGAGAGACAAACACGGCAGGTCGATCCATTCCGAGGTTTTAGCCTATGAGAAGATGTAACAAGTAAAAAATAAAGAAGTGCCATTAAAGCTCAGATTATGTTATCTGAGCTATGATTGAATCCATTTAAAAGAAGTGACTGCCAAATGAGAGATGTTTGTCTCGCAGATCTCAGCTTCCTGAACACTTCAGCAGAGTTAACATCACTGTCTGTGAAGTCAGACTCTGTGTGCGCTTTTCCTGCTCTTAGCTTTGATGTGGCCTGTCCTATAAAACGTATTCCATATGTCTGTTTGCTCCCTATGCGGTGTCTTTTCCACAGTCTGGCACAGTGTGTAGTATTACTGTGCTGTCATGATGGTTTGTCATGCTTTGTCATTGGTTTAATTGGTCTTTTCTTGCCTTTGATTGTGGAGTTCACTTAGTTTTGTTTCACCTTTCTTGTTTTTTCTACCCTTCTCTGATTGTGAGTTTACAACATTTCTGTGCAGCTTGTTATTTTAAGATGTTTTTCTCTTTGTAGAAATTTCATTGCAGTTGGTCTTCCACTCATTGTGGCATCTTTGTTGCCTGTAAGTATTTGGTCAGTGGTTGTGATGGTCTGCTGTGTCAGTGATATATCACACCCACACAAGGCCAGAAAATTTCCCCATGCAGGAAGTTGGAACTCTCCAGCTGCACCCCGGGAGGCTTTTGGGATATGTTCCCTCTTCTGTTGTAGATTAAACGTTTTCCTCTTTTCCAAGTGCAAACTTTACCCCCTTGGGATACACTCCAGCAAACAATTGGCTGTAAATGTGGTTAAGACTGTAGTTCCCACCTTATCAAGGACTGTGTTATCACTGCCAGATGTTTAGCTGAAACATGCAGCTATACTAAGTGTAGCTAATCCCAAGAGTGGGATTACACTCTCTGGCTGCATCCTGAGGCTCAGCGTGGGCCAGTGCATCCCACTGAGGTCGACTTTAGCATTTTTCCTTGTTAGCTGGTGACACTTTGAGTGTAGCTGCCTTGTTTATGAAAACCAGGAAAGGTCAATCAGCCACCAAATTCCCAGCATCTGTGGGAAAAGTCATCGAGGGTGATAACAATGTATCCCTCCTGGTGATTACTGTGCCATTGCTGACATAAAGACTGTTTGCTTTTCTCAGACCTCCAAGATTACTGCGGGAATGAAGCGCCCCATTTCAAAGACTTCACAGACAACAATAAACATCTGGGAAATGTTTTTCAGATTCCTTTATGGTTCTTCACGGAATCCTCAAATTGAGAACTGCTTTATTTGTGGACACTTCATACCATAAATTACGTCTCCACTATTGCTTTGGCTAAAGCATCAATGTGGCACAAAAAGACAAAACTGTCAAGACCTTTTTTGTACTTTTTAAAATCCCTTTTTATTTGTACCCTGTGACCTGAGCTTTCGATTGACCAATTTTTAGAACAACCACAAATGTCCTCTTATGTAAACACTTTACCTTTAATTTGGTTTCTATTTCACTACAATAAATCCTGTAAATGATAATCATAATTTTTAGTGTTTTCTCTCCAAACACCCATAGCTCTTATATAGGTTGCATTTGGCCCAGGATCTTACAGTGCAACTCATATTCCAGAGCCCAGCTTCCCTCTCAAAAACTTTGCTCATAGTCCCTGCTGCCCGTTGATCAACATGAAACCTCATCATGTTGCAGATGCTAAACATTTTCACTTCCATTTGAAAGAGCCGAATACATCCTGGAGATTTGCTGAAGCAAAAGTTTTCTGCTGTTCGGTCTCAAATGTAAGTGCTCGCCATGCAGTAGCTCTCGTTACAGAAGTCTGGCTTGTTTAAAAAGCATCAACTACAGTATCTGCATCTATTTAAATGTGATTTGTTAGCTGTCATGGCACCAAATGTCACATGCCTTTGGCGTTGTTGCATTTACGCGTTGTCGCTTAAAGTACTCATAATTGACATGGAGGTTAGGAGCTTGAGTTGAGTCCTGATGGACGGTTTCCTCAGTGGACGAGCCCTGGTCGCTTGCTGCTGGGACCCTTGGGGATGAGGTGACCCCTTCACTCCGGCCGTCATCACCAGCAGGGTCCCAAGTGTATCAGCGGCCCTGGGAAAGTTTCAGAATAATACTGTGGGAACATGAACTGTATGCAGACACTAGTGACAAAAAGGGAAAAAGGGGGAGAGGTCTGTTTCTTCGTACACATGTGTGTGTGTGTGTGTGTGTGTGTGTGTGTGTGTGTGTGTGCGTGTGTGTGTGTGTGTGTGTGTGTGTGCTCAGAAGCTGATGGTTGTGATGCCCATGTACACAGTATGTCTGTGCAGTGTGGAACATGTGCCAGTGAAAATATTTAAGTGAGTATGCGTATGAACTCTCTGTCATGTTCTCTATCTATCTTTCTCCCTCACCCTTTTTTATTAGAACCAGGAGGCGGGGGAGGAAATTATCCAGCCGTGTTTTCGGAGCAGCTCGAGAGCTTTGAGCTTTTTGGGAACGGAAGTGCCAAATGCAGTTAATTTAAGGAGGCAATGTGTATCTGCTTTTGGGGTTTATTAGAGAACTGCCAAACTATCAGGTCTTTCATCTCTTGCAACCATTGAAGAAATCTTGGACTTTGATTATAAAGACACGTTGACAGATAGTGTCCATTGATAAATGGAAACTACAGTATCTAACTTGCAAACATGTTTTACTACATAACGTCTTAAAATAGACCCATGCCTTAAAATAGGCCGTAAAGCTGAAGTGCAGTTTCCTGTAGAAATGTTCAATGGGATAGGATTTCTTAAGTAACATTTCACAATTTTTCCACTAGCCCACTCCTTCTCTTCCTCCTCCACCCTCGCTCTTCCCAAGACCCGTTCTTCCGCCCTCTTTCTCCTTCCCACCCTCTTGTGCGCAGGCCTGTGATACATCCTTAACTGTTTCCAGACGTCTGCGTGCTGCAGGCCTTAACCCCCCATATCCCAAACATAACAAACTGCCCTTCCCCTCTTCAATCTTGGCCTCTTTATTCTGCTGTGCTGTTAAGCTGCAACCTTCAGCTTTTAAACAGCAAAGTGAAAGTTAGTCAAGGTGAGCTTCTGTCAGGTTAAAGCTCAATGGATGCTGAATCAGTTTCACTTCTGTGTGCATTATATGCCATATGTATAGAGAAACCATAGCAACTTTTCAGATCTGCACGTTCACTCCTGTCAGAGGCTTATGTGAATGCCCTCATTTTCACTTTTGTTTACACCAAAACCAATTAATGGCTCAGCACGGCTCTAGAGAAGCTTGGACGCAGCATTGTTGCCAGTGAGCGTGTTGCATAGCCACACACAGTGACCTGTTTGTTAGTGGGCAGAATGCTGGTGGACCAGGAACAAAAAGAGCCAGACATTGTTTCTCTGTCCTGGTGCAGTGAGGCATAAAATACCTTCAGAGTGAGCTGCTTCTGCACCTCAGATTCTGTGTGTCAGCCAGGAACCACAGAAGAGAGCTGCATGACAACCTACCAAAAGCACTGTTGTTTGTTTCCATTGAGATGAACTTTTTTAGCCATTCTCAGTTGAAGCAGACAGTTCTGACCCGTAGTTTAAATAGATCTTTTAACTTGACCCACTGGAGTTCATAAGTGCAGGAGTCAATCCATCATGATATAAAACTCATCTCTGAGACACAGATGTAAACTCTGGTCACCTTATGTGTCATTTGGACTGAACTCCGATTAGAATTTCCTGTTGTTTTGCTCAGTTTGACTGATGCTTGTTTAACATACTAAGGACATATTGATCTCATTCTGTATTTATAGACGAAAACAGAACTAAAAGCAGATATTTTAAAAATGCCTCATACATTCTTTTGTTTGTGTGCAGGACAGACTTGGCTTAAGGCATCTACCATGAAGAAGGTGACAAAATCTGTGCTCCATCTCACAGTGACATTTACAGGTGAGAATTACATTCCAAGAAAAAGTTAAAATGTTGAACAAAATCCAAATGTGATAGCAAGCTCAGGCAGACTGCTCAGAAAGTAAGGAAATGTAATCCGACTACAGTGTTTTTAAAATTTTACAAGATATTCTAACCAAATAACTGAAGGTGTCATAGAAATTTTCTTACCCTCTAATTAAGGTAAAGCGGCTTTAATTGGGGAAAGACAACACATGGACAAAATAAAGCATATGTTTTGGATTAGCTGTGCAGTCTCAGATAACACACTGCTTTGATCTAAAGGACAGATGCTACATCCAGACTGACCCTATCATTATTGATACATCTTTCACTCACATAACCTCTTTATCCTCCCACTCATCTGCACCAGACAACTTGTATCCATCATCAGTTGGAGATAGAACAGGTTTCTGACTTACGCCGAAGCTTTAACCTCTGACCTCACGCTGCCTTCACTATGACCCCCCATGTTGACCTTGTTCCTTGTTGTGCAAACTGCAGCTTTGCTGTATCTCTGCGCTGAAGTGGGCTGCCTGGAGATCAAACCCGATGACAAAGAGCTCGTCCTGGCTAAAGGCTCCTCGGTCACCCTGACCTGCTCCGGCTCTGGGGAGACAGTATGGGAGTTTAAGCGAGATGATGGGGCATTCCATCACATGGAGCAATTTCAAAATCCTGATGCCACCACCAGTGTTCTGACTTTGGGGAATGTGAGCTGGAAGGATACTGGTGTGTATCTTTGTGTGGATCAGCTCTCCGGCGAAACCAAGGAGGTGGTTGTGTTTGTCCCAGGTGAATTCTGTTTTTAAAATTTTCCTTTGTTCGTCGTCATTTTGAAACGCTACCTGATATCTAATTGAATAAGCCTTATGTCTCCTTCCAGATCCTGAAGTATGGTTTGTAGGGAGCTCCCACGGCATGGTAACCAAGACGAGTGAGGAAAGCACCATTCCCTGTGTGGTCACCAACCCAAACATTAGTGTCACGGTGTATGAGAGAGACACTAACATACCGATCAAAGGGCTGTATGTCCCCAGCGAGGGGTACAGGGCACCGCTGGAGGACAGGATATATGTGTGTCGTGGAGAATTGGATGGACAGGTGAAAGATTCCCAGGACTTCTACGTCGTCAGCATTGTTGGTAAGTGTTCAGTCAAAAAGTTTTCAAACTGACAAAACTAAAGGGATCAATATTCAACTTAAGATTTCTGATGACATTAATCTGCGTTTAGGTTCATTTTTGCATTTAAACTGATGATTGATTAGTATTAGTATCTTTTTTTCCGTGTCAATTTCATAAATCACATCATCGGCCATCGTCACTCTCTTAAACACTTCTCATTCAAGTTCCAGAGGCCATGAACCCCTACATCAACGCTTCAAAGACGGTCATGAAGCAGGGTGAACCACTTACTGTAAACTGCACAGTGCAGGGAGTGGAGCTGGTGTTCTTTTCTTGGGATCACCCCAAAGGAGAGGTGAGTAGGAGTGGAGCAGAACAAGCCCTTTTGTTCAGCCTCCCCTCTGTGATCTCTCTCTTGCCTCATGATCGAGCTCAGATTGAATCAAGATGTAGAGACACACCTCAGTTCCTCCTGTGAAACTGCTCACAACACATGTGGGCATGTAACAACTCGGTTCTGGAGTTTGGATAATTTACTGTAACTCTTTCAGATAATTATTAAGACTTGCTTCACCTCACTTTTGAGGATGAAAAGCTCTTTGTAGCCTGTGCTGTGATTTATCTGCAGTGTCTTTTTCTATTTACACGTTCAGTGAAGATATTATTATGGATTTTAATGTTCAACGTAGTTTGTTTTACCATTTGATGATATTTGAATTCATATCCAGATTTGACATTATCATAATTTCCTTTTCACTTCAAGGTTGTTGAGGTTGAGCCGTTGACAGATGTCTTGTTTGGCATGAACATGCGTTCCTACCTGATCTTCCCTCATGCCACCGTGTCCCACAGTGGAAACTACATCTGCCATGTCCATGAAGGAGTCAAAGATCAGACGGCCTCTGCCAGCATCAACATCACTGTGCTTGGTTAGACACACACAAACTAAAACAAACTGTTGCTCTGCGGATTATTATTGTGTTTCGCAGGCTGAGAGAGAACTGCTAATTATATCTACCTTGGCAAGTTTATATGAGAGGGAAGCCATGTTTTTAAAGGAAATGAGAATCAGATTTATTTATTTCTGTAATAAGTTTGAAATAAACCTTTGACTCTATGTGGACACTGAGTTAAAAACAGATATTCCAATCAGGGGGTACAGACACGTTATATTTAGACTCCAAATGAATAAGTGTTTGTCTGGATGGAATTTGACTTTAAACCTGAACACCCAGCTGGGCAGAAACTCACAAAAGCAGACAGAGAGCCAGTAATAGCAGGAAACTGTCCCCCATCCACTGTCTCTTGACTGCTACTACATATATTTTGGGTCTGTGAATGCTTACTCTATCTTCAGTGAGGTGTATTATGTTTACAAAACCCTTAAATAACTTTCACCTCAATGTTCCTTTGAGACACCTGGACAGTTTTTATTACTGCAGCCTTCAAGTGGAAAAGACACACACTCCCTTTCTGCAGAATGTCAATGATGCTCTACAACATTACCATTATATAATGGTCTTTTATAAAGACCCTTGTAAAGAATAAATGGTAAAGCTTTAAATGACATGATTGTGTTGATCAAAATGAAATGCAAAAAGATTTGGCAAGTTATGCACAACATGGGATTTGATATTTCAAATCCGAATCCCTTATTGTAAGAAGAAAATGTTATTGCACATCCTTTAGAAATAAACACCAACAGGTCAAAGCCAACTAAGAAAAACTCTTGCACAGATTGTGTACATCACGTTGGTAACATTGTTTTTCTCTTTTAGAGAAAGGCTTTGTGGATGTGAAGCCCGCTCAACAGCAAAACATTTCAGCCAGGCTTCAGGAGAACGTGGAGCTGAAGGTGGAGATTGAGGCCTACCCTCCCCCCCAGATTCTCTGGACCAAAGATGGCGCCACCATTAAGGGAGACAAAACCATCATCATCAGACAAGAGCACGAAATAAAGTAAAAAATGCACCCTAGTTTGCATTTGCAGCTGTCTCCTGACAGCAAGAAATGCACAAATGCACCTCACAGAGCGTGTTCCATTTAAACAATTAGCACAGGAGCAGTGATCCTCTGGCAGCCTCCAGAGACATCTAGCTCATGTCAGTCGCCACCAAATGAGGCGACTACAGGGAGAAATACAATACTCTCCAGAGGGAAGGATGCCATCTTTCAGCGCACAGGAACCATAAACACTAAATACCTGTCACGGATAACAAATGTCTTTCAGGCTGATGCCAAACAAAGCCAAGACTGAAACAATTTGTTTTCACATTGCTCTCATTACTGGAACCTCTACAAGTCTGTTATGTATCATAAAGGTTGAGATGGTAAAACACAACATTAACAAGATCACATTGTTGTTTTTGCCTTTCTTAACCTAGACAAATTAAATGTGTAGTTATATAAACATAGATATCTCTGGAAACAAGAAAAAACTTGATTTGATTAACCCAGTTCGTGCATACATTTTAAAAAATGCTTTTGATAATAAGCATGAGAGAGAAGATGCAAAAATCCCTAAAATGCTGCTCATTATTTTCTTCCTCAGATATGTCACCATTCTCACTCTGGTGAGGGTGAGGACAGAGCAAAAGGGGCTGTATGCTGTACTTATAAGCAATGAAGACGACACAAAGCAAGTTACCTTTGACCTGGAAGTCCAAGGTGGGAGGATGCTTTTAAGAAAATTTCAATCATCCCAGTGTGCAGTGTTTTTGTCACATGTAGGATTAATCATTTAAAAGAAGTGTATGTGGAAATTTAAAAAAAGAGGTCAAATTTGTTTTGTTTTTTCCCATCATCACAATGATCAATAGCCTTTTCACTTTATGTGTAGTTCCCTCTCAGATTAAAGAATTGACCGACCACCATCTCCCTGGGAAGAGACACTTGGTGACTTGTCTCGCCGAGGGGGTCCCACCCCCATCCATACAGTGGTACAGCTGCGACAGCATGCTCAAGTAAGTGGCATTCATTGGCCCTGAACAGCCACACAGAGAACACTGGGAGGTGTTGAGCGCTCACGTATTGATGTAATTTCAAATGTAGAGACCTTTGTCTTCATTTCGCTCTCTCCTGGCCTCACTGATCTAATGTGCTGCGGCAGGTGCAACAACCACACGGCGGCGTGGCAGCCCTTAACGCCGCTGCCCGAGGAGCTGAGCATCCAGACCAACGTGAGCTACAGTGAGGCACGGAAAATCAACCAAGTGCGCAGCCAGGTGACCTTCCACAAGCCTCAGCAGGTCACGGTGCGCTGTGAGACCACCAACCGAGCTGGACTCATGGACAGAAGAGATGTCAAACTGGTGTCCAGCAGTAGGTGTCACCTGAGCCATTTTGGTGTTGAAATCTATGAAAAGCTTGTTAGAATGATTTGGTTAACAATCCTGTCTTTATTTTCTAGTCATTGTGTAAATATGAATCACTGCCATAGGAAAAAAAAGATAGTTAAGCAAATATAAAAGAGTGATTGAATAAAAATATGACTAAAATATGAATGGTCCATTAGCTACATCAGCTACATATTGTTAACATATTAAATAATGCATCCCTTTGAATGTTGCATTCATGTGCATTGTGGCTGATGGTGTGTTTCTGTGGCTGTTGCAGCCCTGTTCTCCCAGGTGGCAGTGTTGGCTGCTGTTCTGGCCTTAGTGGTCATCTTTATCATGTCTATCATCATCCTCATTGCTGTGTGGAGAAAGGTGAGACAAACCGATCGGCTTTACAAACAAGCGGAAAGAAGTTGTTATTATTGTTTGTCCTCATGTATGATTTGTTTGCCCCGCACTGTGCTTTCAGAAACCTCGCTACGAGATCAGATGGAAAGTGATAGAATCTGTGAGTCAGGATGGACACGAGTACATCTACGTAGACCCCATCCACCTGCCCTATGACCTGGCCTGGGAGATGCCCCGAGACAACCTGGTACTGGGTGAGTTCTGATTTATACCACAGGGAGATCACATTGTGTGAGACTTTAGCCCTCAATGATCTTGAATTCAAATATTCAATAGCTGAACAGAATTTTTCCTAATGAGCCATTGAAATGAATTTACAATGGTGTGGCCGCTTTTCGCTTAACGGAACATGTCTTGTAAATGGATTTAACTGTCTAAGTTTTAGATGAAGCACAGTTTTTTAGCAAGATTAATATATAATCAGTGTTTCCTACTGTTTTAGTGAAACCATCAAAATGCTTGTTTGGATCACGTCAGAAAGATAGTTTTAAATACAGTTTTTTTCCATTTTCTTTTGAAACTACAGCATAAATGAACTTGAAGTGTGCTTGTTACTTAGATGAGAACAAACAGTTGAAACCGGAGCAGGAGGGTTTTGTGTTCTGGGTTGTTTGAGCCGTCTGGGCACAGTCACCAACAGAATACTAAATGAGTGTGTTAAACTGGTGTTACTGGCTTCAGTCCCTATTCACTTTTAAAGTCCTGTAAGCTTTTTACATCAGATGATTAATTGTTTGTCAGTTGATCTCTGAAAAAGATCACCAAACCTGCTTTGGGTCTCCTTGAATTAAGATGATAAATTTATGCCATCAAAACTTTCTTCTAAATCTCTCTTTCTTCTAGGCTTTGTGAAAACCTCACATTGATATTATAATACACAGAAGTTTTCTTTCAGCTGTTTCACGTCTAATGTGTGCTCCATTCAGACTCCATCCTACTGAGCCCTTCTTTGTGTTTCAGGTCGCACTCTTGGATCAGGAGCTTTTGGCAGAGTGGTCGAGGCAACTGCGTATGGTCTCACACATTCCCAGTCCAGCACAAAAGTGGCAGTGAAAATGCTGAAATGTAAGACCCGTGATAGAAAAACCCAGAAAACAGCCATGTGCATACTTTGTGAGAAAGGGGGAGTCCCACCCCCCTGCAAAGCTGTCAGATATGGTGACAGTGGTCCCATATTCCTGTGGCCTCAGAGAGCGCAGAGGGCCCACTGAGCTATAGTCTGTTTGCCAGCCTGATTCAGGTTTCAGCTCACAGGTCATTGAGCAGTTTGGCAAACCCAGTGTCCAGCTCTCAGCGTTCCCAGTCCTCCTCTTCTCATATCTTTGTCCTACATCTTTCTCTCCACTCTTACCTAGCCACGGCCAGGAGGAGTGAGACTCAGGCACTGATGTCAGAGCTGAAGATCATGAGTCACCTGGGTCCTCACCTAAATATCGTCAACTTGCTTGGAGCTTGCACAAAACATGGTGAGTTCCACAGCTGTAGCTCCACACCATTATTATCACTATGATAGGACATTCAGAGCAGAGCTGAATTGATAGAAAAGTTTGATCACACCATCTCAAATCTCAGATTTCCCCCTTTGAGGGATGAATAAAGGAATATCTTGGAACATACCTTCCTTCTAAATGCTGTTCAGAGTGGTCTTTTGTCTTCCCTCCCAGTAAACCGTATCATTTAAAGAAAACCACACACTCTCAACAGGATTGAAGGTAGATCAAAAACAGGGACAGGTCATTGTTTGGTCACCTTTCTGGGCTAATGGTTGGACAAGCAGTTGGCCTTTGCGTTGTATGCATTTGAGTACTGTCCTGCACAAGATCATGGCCTTCTTCCAGGTGCAGACACCCTCCAGTTGGATTACAGTACATGCCAGAAACTGACACCAGCAGCGAGGATTTTCACTTTTCTAAAACAATTGTCTCTCCCTTACTGCTTCTGGTTCTCAGGCCCTCTTTACTTGGTGACTGAGTACTGTCGCTACGGCGACCTGGTTGACTACCTTCACAGGAACAAGCACACTTTCCTGCAGTACTACATAGAGAAGAACCAAGATGACAGCTGCCTGATTTCAAGAGGAAGCACCCCTCTCAGCCAACGAAAAGGGTGAGACGAGCAGAGAAAATGCATTCAGGGCTTCACAAAGGAGCATTTCATAAAATATAGGGGGTCTTTCATGGACATCTCTTTGCATTCAGAGACACAGCTGAAGACAGATGGATGTACTTCACTGAGACTGTTACACATGTTTCACATGATATGAGGCTGTGAACGCATATTTGGATTTAGGTCAGAGCTTTTTTTCCTCTAACTAAATATGTGCTTCCAGTTATGTGTCCTTTGGAAGTGAGAGTGATGGGGGTTACATGGACATGAGCAAAGATGAGCCATCAGTCTACGTGCCCATGCAGGAGCAGATCGACACCATCAAATATGCAGACATCCAGCCTTCGCCGTATGAGTCCCCCTACCAGCAGGACATCTATCAGGAGCAAGGTTTGATGTGTGCCCATCAGATTTATGCGAGTAATGGGAATTATTCAGTTCTCTGAGAGCACATAAGCATGAAAATCTAAGCATTATGAACACAGGAAACAATGAAATTAGAAGACGACGCTAAGTATCTAAAACACAAGTTCTGTATTAAGGCATGACTTGGCTAGAAATAGGTCAATTCTACAAGAGATTAAATGGCTTGATACATGAAGGAATTCATCATTTCTTTTGATCAAGCAAAGATACTATGAATTAGAGAATGCAGTCACAGGACAGCCATAATTCCCTTTTTACAGCAGCACAAAATCTTAACTCTGTAGATGCTCACAAACATTCCTCATGTTGGTTTTGTCAACTTTTGTCTCAGGGGTCAGCAGGCCAGACCTGGTCATCAGTGACTCTTCCAGTCTCACCTATGACGATCTCCTGGGCTTCAGCTACCAGGTGGCAAAGGGGATGGAGTTCCTCGCCTCTAAGAATGTAGGATCTTAAAAATATACGTTTCACATTATATTGAAGCCGACTCGATCTTTTTGAGAGGTGTCTGTTGATCAAAAATTTAGAGCATGTATGAACTGATTTGATTTTACTTTGATGTGTCCTCCAAAGTGTGTCCACCGTGACCTGGCTGCGAGGAACGTGTTGATCTGTGAAGGCAAGCTGGTGAAGATTTGTGACTTTGGTCTGGCCAGAGATATCATGCATGATTCCAACTACATCTCAAAAGGCAGCGTAAGTGGCTACTTACTGACTGAATTATGATGAGTGCACCTCTATAGCACTATGCCCTGTGGCTAAATTACACTCTGCAAGATGTATGTGTACATAGAGTGGTGCCAAATAACTTCAATCTGTTTCTTTATCTTCTAAAACGAAGTGTGTTTCTTCTCTTTCAGACATTCTTGCCCCTGAAGTGGATGGCACCAGAAAGTATTTTCCATAACTTGTACACCACCCTGAGCGATGTGTGGTCATATGGCATTCTTCTTTGGGAGATTTTCACACTGGGTCAGTCCTACCATCACGCTCATGCACTGAAAAACTATAAAACAAATTCAGCTGAGATGCATGCATCCTGTGTAGGGGGTTCTTCACTCGTAGTTGAGTGTCTTGTTTTACAACCTTAACCCCTGATCAGGAGTCACACAAACACTCCTTCCATCAGCAAAAGTTTTTCAAAACTGTGGCAAATCTCAAATTCTGTGTCTGACTGCAAGTACATACCAATTTGTTTGAAGATTCCTATGAGTTCAAAATCCTATTGGCCACAGTCAGGGTTTGAAATCAGCATTTCCTTGCTCAGGGTATTGTAAGCCCTTTTCTTTTCTTTTCTTTTTTTAAAAATCTTCCCATGAATTTTTTAAGTCACCGTGAAACAAAGGGGACAGTTTGTTGTGTATTAAATCCTGAATGGTGAAAATCAAACTCACAATCCGGTCTCTGTAAATAGTGAATAAAGATTCTCTGTTTTGAATCTGACTTTTTTTTTAGACTTTTCAGAAAGATTTTTATTTCAAATCTGTGTCAGGAAGCAAATTTCTTTGCGCTCCAAATATGGTTCCTATGATTGTTTAGCGTTCATCATGCTGGAAAGAAAATTAAGAAGATATTAATCTCAAGGAACATTTAAGGTTACCTGTTTTGCTGTAACTTTGTCATCAAGTGAATGTTAGAGATTTAGATTAGGGTCGAACTTTCCAGCATGTGTACGGCTTTCCAGCTTAACATTTCAGTCATTTTAAAATTTCCCTGCAGGAGGAACCCCTTACCCAGATTTGCCTATGAATGAAATATTCTACAGTGCTTTGAAGAGAGGCTACCGAATGTCCAAACCTGCACATGCCTCTGATGAAGTGTGAGTTTCCCAGGCATCTTGTCATTCTTTTGCCTTGAGAACAACATGAAGAATGAGACATAAACTCATTTTGTCTCACCTTTTGTTGTAGTTATGAAATCATGAAGAAATGCTGGGATGAAAAGTTTGAGAAGAGGCCTGAGTTCTCCCTCCTGGTCCACAGCGTGGGAAACATGCTGACAGAGAGCTACAAGAAGGTACAACATTTTTGTTTGAATTAAATTTTCATGCTTCTTTCTTCACCAAAATTCTAATGGAAATGTAATACTTAATGATAAAGTTAATTAGTTAATTCATCTGAAAATATCTGCAATGAACATAGTTTATCAAATTTACTACAAAACTATTGTCTCCGAAAACAGAGATACAACCAAGTGAATGACAACTTCCTGAAGAGTAACCACCCTGCTGTTGCCCGCACCAAACCCCGCCTGTCCTCGCCCTTTCCAATCGCCAACCCAGCATTTGGTTCTCCTGCTTCCGTACCCCTATCCTCATCCCCACTGGGCCCTTCCAACCGTAACCCGAGGCTTGCAGACCTCAGGCAGGAGGCCGACACGCAAGAAGTTCTAACTTCATACAACGAGTACATCATTCCCATCCCTGACCCGAAACCAGAGGAGGCTTTCACTGACATGCCGTCAGAAAGTCCAGTGAGGTACGGAGCCAAAGCTGTCCAGATGTGTGCCAAATGCAGGGGCTGCGAGAAAGATGAATTTGTGTTTGCTTGATGAGAGCATTTTTTTCCTCACACACCCACTCATCCAGATGTTGAGCTGAGACACTAGTTGCACTATGTGAACATGGAGGCATGTTTTTATTGCTTAAATAAACAGAGCTTAGCAAAAACTTCAACTTCAGGGAATTTTTAACAGCGTTATGTGAAGGTACTTTACATCTACTATCTTTTTGTTTTATCGTTTGTGATAACCTTCTACATTACTGCTTTTAAGGGGTTGACATATCTGTCATCAAGTTTAGGTGGGAGAACAAGGTTCAAGCTTATATTTGAGTTTTGGCAGTGAGGTGATTCTAAGATTATAAATAGCTGATGAGTTAGACCGTTAACATTATGGTTTTGGTTTAAGGTCTTTGGCTCGTTCACAAGACAAAGAGTTAGGCCAGGAACAATTATCATTTTTTTAAATATAAAGATTCCCTATGTATTTCCAAAAGAATGATCTTATATCGTGTTGACATGCATACATTTTATTCAAGAACCTTAACATAATCTAATATCCTTATTCAGCAACAAGCCGTTAAATTCCCTTTAAAAAGTATCATTAGGTTGCCATTAGAGCTGATCATTTGGATTTATAGCAGTTGGGTTTTCAGTTATTGGTTTGGTTGTTTCTTTTAGAGGGTAAATGCTGAGATCCAAGACTTTCTATTGATTATTACAATGTGCAAAGGAAAAGAAAATACACCGAAGTCTTTCTTCCTTCCCGCAGTTCTCTGGCTCTGGAGGAGGAGACTGACTCCATGTCTCAGGACACGGCGGACACTCTTCCAGAGGAGGATCGTCTGGAAGAGAGCAGCGAGAGAGACGCTCTGCTGGGCTCGGCAGGGACACCCGAGGTAGAAGACAGCTTCCTGTAACCACATGTGGGGTCCCCGGGAAACACGGTCCCACTTCTGAACAGAAAAGGGAACATGACTAAACTGACATGTAGCAAAACTGAGACTGAGAAGGCCAATTCTGTATTTTCACACTCAAATCATTGTATCTCTGAGATTACGATGATGAAAATGAGGTTTTTGGGAGCTTGCGACAATGTGAATACGGTACAGTCCACTCCTTTGTAAAAAAAAAAAGTGCAACTGAGCACAGACATTTTTACAGTGTTTTCCAATTTAGCCTTCAAGCCTTATGACATGCAGTATCAGATTATTTAGATAAATGTAACCATGCCATGCCTTTTCTGGCAGTTGTAATCACAGTTTTTGAAAGATTTTTGAAAAGCGGGTTTTTTGTAATGTGCATTTTAAAAATGATACAAGAAAAAAGACAAACCATTAACAAATTTATACATAAGAAGGAAATAAAAAAAGAGGATTGTTTGTAATTTTTTATTTTTATTTTCTCCTAGTGTTGGTACTATCAGTAGCCTTATTCGCAGTTTTATACGTTTGTTAAATATTCGTTTTGGGGCCCTCCATGTACACTGTTTTAAAATTAGATGTACTCTCTGTGTAGCTCCATAGGCCACATTGTTTTCATATGCGTGGACTGAATTTTGTTCTTCTTTTGTGTAGGCTTAATTCATAGTTCTGTGCCAAAATTGCACTTTATTTAGAAAAAAATGTGGATACTCATGTAAAGTTACATTCTGTGAAAATGAGACAGCTACAACATAGAGCCACTAAAGCATAACTATCAGACTGTAAGAGTGATTAGATAATCCTTTTGTCTGCGCAGACAGGTGACTCTCAAGTGTACATAATCAACGCAGCATATCACTGCCTTAGCACAAGATGGCACACATGAGAGCCTTTGTGCTGACAGATTTCTGTTTTGCAGCTATGAACGAAGGTCATCTTCACTGAAGAATCATGACTGCCATGTGTCCTCTATTGCTTTGTGTAACATTCACTTATATTGTTTCTTTTATTTTTTGCTGTTGTTTTTAAGAAATACTCAGTTCACCATCTATATCAACACATTTTATTTGATGTAGAACTCAGTGTAAAATGCACAAGATCACTGTGTCACAAGCTAGGGTACCAAAGCTCTTCTTAACGTTTACAAATGTATTTTTATATGTGTCATTTTTTATGCTGTAAATGTGTCAATAAATGTGTACTATCACCACACCATGTGACTGGTACTATGTCTCTTACTTCCTAAGATTTCACCTACCACAGATCCTATCTGAAATTCACCCATATAGATGCTCTCACACGCTGGGTTTCTTCAGGTCTCTGCTTGACTCTTTGGTCAGATTCCCTTGTCCACCTGCCCACATTTGCCCGACTTAGAAAAGCCTGGCAGCAACAGTTCAGCAGAGATGCGAGACTATTCTCCCCAAGATAGATGGATACAGATGGATTCGGAGTGCTGTGCCTTTGTGTGGCAAATTGGTACTGGCTCATTAATTTGTTTAGCGTGATGTGCTGAACCGCCTCCCCTTCTTACTCACACACAGCTCCCTCCACCCTCCACCACTTGCTCTCTGATGTACGCTGTGTGACTTCTCTGGTGGGGACACTGTAAACAAGCAGAAAGGAGAGCAAGGACGGAGACTAGTAGAGAGGGACGAAGGGACTCTTGTGTCCGCTCTGGATGCTGGGAACTTCCATACCCAGAGAAGTTAATTCAGAACCTCTGCCCAACTGAAGACATCTGCAGGTGAGAACATTTGAAAGAAATGACTGCATGTTCTCCACTGCTCAGCCCAGTTAGTTTTTGAGATGTAGTTACTTCTCATTTAACCATTAGCTGATCTTACCCGTCAAAAAAGAGAAGTAAAGGAGGGGATGGAATGATAGCACAACTACTGAAGCACTTCTTCCATTTCTCTCTCCGACACCACAAATTAAATGAAGAGCTATTTGCTGCACACAAGAGTTACCACTCTTCAACCTGCAGGTTTGGAGTTGATCCAGGATGCACTCCTATCTCACTCTGATACTTTGGATTGTTGCATCTGCTGCCTCAGGTAAGAGCTTTCAAACTCTGAAAATATTAATCATGGCAGTTGTATTTTTTTTCTTCATCAGTCTTTCAGGTTTTTGTCATATGTTAGGGAACTAAGAAAGGACGCCATTATGCTTTGTCTTAAATACATGTTGACTTGACAGTGCGCTGGGTAAAGACTATGTATGTAACGTAGTTACTTTAGCACCAAGTTTGTTTTTGGTTTTGGTCACCAATTCTCCTGTCATTTCAGATCTTGCCTGCCTCGTTGTCGTACATCTGGGTTCTCTGTCACGACCACTGGTCCTGGCAACAGAGAACCCAAATGCCCGACAATGAGGCAGACATGTTTTAAGGGAAAATCAGTTTATTTAGTCCAAAAACAGGCAGGGTCAAAACCAGGAGACCAATCATACAGGCAAACAAATCCGATAAGGGGCAGGCAGGAATCCGAAGTCTGAGAAGGGCAAAGGCGAGGTCGGTACAGGTAGGCAGGACAGGAAAATGCGGGAAAACCTGGCAGGGATGAAGTGGAAATAGGCCGGCATAAATACTGAGGAACAAATGAGCTAATGAACTGCAGGTGAGGAGTTGGTGGAGAGAACCAGGTGAGGGGCATGAGTCATTGCATGGCAGGGAAAAAGGGCAGGATCTGAAATGAAAGGAGAATTAGTGACCAAAACAAAAACAAACTCAGTGCTGAAGTATCTACGTTACAGAGTAAAGGGTTAATTGTACGACAATATTTAAACCTGTCTTTCCCCCACACTTGTTTAATTTGCTGGAACTATTCTAAAAATGCCAAAGGCAGTTACAGCTACAATGCTGGTTTTATGGCATACACTCATGCTCCGCGCAGACATCTGACACGCCACTGTGTCAAATGAGCATGACAACTGACATGAGCATCATGAGTTGTTTGTATCTTTTTTCTACCCTTCTCCTCCATTTCACTTCATCTCTGAACATACCAGATGTTGATGACTGCAATCCAAGTCATTTTCATATGAACATGTTAAAATCTCTGCTGTTTGATCTGATTCTGTTCAGCTGTTTATCTGTTTGATCATTTTAATAGGTAGAATTAGTCACTTTCAAACTGGATGAAGAGTTTATGTAGATGCTTGAACAAGGAGGAAGGTAACTGTTTACAGACACTCTAAAGGTTGAGAGCTGAAGTGCTGATCTGCATGAAACCAATTTTCATTCCCAGTTTCTCTGAGATACACTGTGGTGAATAGAAAATGTGCTGAACGTGGAATCTCAGTTCTGCTTCAAAATTTGTAACACACTGTAAAAAGCCTGAATGGGAACTCTTATAACCTCAGATTTCTTTCCAGTGTCTCTCATTTTCACATAAGATGTCCATAAAAACCCTCCATTGAAAAATCTTAAACTGAGTTACCCAAATGTATGACTACCATCAAAGGCATCAAAGACAACATTGTTCTTCCATACAAAACTTTTTTTGTCAAAGGTTAAGAGTCCCTTTAAAGTAGTTCAACCTCATAGACTCGTCAGTCTTCTAACAGTTCTCTCCTGTTTTTTAGTGTTAAAAACACAAAAGCCACATCCAGAAAAATGTTTTAAATGTCCATAGTTATATGTCTGCAATGTGTCTCGTCAATGTAGCCTACTGTACAGATACGCATCCTGATTCTATCATGTTACTTTGGAAAAATATTTAAATCAGATCAAATAAATCAGATAAGTAAAAATAAAGACAAGCTGACATATGTTGGATCATCAAAGATAACTGTTTGTGTTTCTGGGTTCTTTGTTCCTTCCCTTTCAGTACAATGGAGGCGTCCAGTGATCAAATTAAATTCTAAAGTGGTGGCGGGTCCTGAAGTGGTGGTTAAACTTGGGAGCCCTCTGGATCTGAGGTGTGAGGGGGACGGACCTATAAACTGGCAAACCAGGCTGGCCAAGCACAGACGTTATGTTGCCAAAGGCGGTGGGAATGTCCGCACCTTGAGGGTAGAGCATCCCAGTGCGGAATTCACCGGAACGTACAAGTGCTTTTACAGTGCTGGCTCACAATATCGCCACCTGACCTCCTCAGTGCACGTGTATGTGAAAGGTGGGTTAAACTACATGAGACTCTTCTATGGGCTGGATGGATCATTGTAGATACACATTATTCTTTCATTTCTGTGCATCTAAAATTCATTCATTGTTTAATTTATTCTCTGTCTTCAAGATCCAAATCGTGTGTTCTGGACCAGCAGCACGTCCTTGCGGGTGGTAAAGAAAGAGGGTGAGGACTACCTACTGCCCTGCCTGCTGACTGACCCTTCAGCCAAAGACCTGGGACTCCGCATGGACAATGGCACCACTGTGCCACCGGGAATGAACTTCACTGCCTTCAGGCACCGTGGCATCCTAATCCACAGCCTCCACCCCAGTTTCAATGCTGACTATGTCTGCACAGCAAGGGTCAATGGAGTGGAAAAGATCTCCAGGGTTTTTTCTATTAATGTCATTCAAAGTGAGAAACAACCTTTTAAAAGTCCATTCTTTGCCTGAACGCTAATATAAACTTGTATTTGAATACCAATGTATTTGTTTTCCTGTTCCTCCAGAACTTCGTTTTCCTCCATATGTCTTCTTGGAGACAGATGAATATGTTCGCATTGTTGGGGAAGAAATCAAAATCCGCTGTACAACTCACAATCCTAATTTCAACTATAATGTCACGTGGCAATACGCCACTAAATCGGTAGGTGCAGTACATTTTATAAAGACTGACCTTGGCAGTGGTCTGGATTTTCTGCTGTAGTTAGATATCTGCTGTTTCTCAGAAACCAATGATAGAGGAAAGGGTCCGCTCCAATGGCGAGAATCGCCTGGACATACAGAGCATACTGACCATTGCCGCTGTGGACCTCGGAGACACGGGAAACATCACATGTGTTGGTACCAACGAAGCTGGGGTGAACAGCTCAACCACATACCTGCTGGTTGTAGGTAAGCCACAAAAAAACGGAAAACAAAGCAACACATGTCACTGAAAACCTTAAAATCTTGGAAATTCTGACACATCAACCTATGATGTTAAAAGAACTCTTGAAATCTGTTTTTTTTCTTCCAAACAGATAAACCCTACATCAGGCTGTCACCCCAGCTGTCCCCCAAACTGGCCCACCGAGGTCTTTCCATAGAGGTGAATGAGGGAGAGGATCTGGAGCTAAGCGTGCTCATTGAAGCCTACCCTCATATAACGGAACACAGATGGCACACACCGACATCTCCCAACGCATCCACACAGGAGCACAGTTTCATCCAATACAACAACAGGTGCAGTAGCATGAAAACTAAAAAAGAAAAGAAAAAACTGCCTTGATCACTCATCAAACTGTGAAGAGGGAACAAACAAATTACTGTATTGAAGAAGGGGAAGCTCTTGTAGATTCGAAATTAAAAACTGCTGGCAGTGCACTTTTGAACAAATTTGACCAGGAACTTCAAGGTTATTGTGTCTCCACTGAGGTCACAAAGCTGCCATGAGGAAGAGTTCTGTTTGGTTTTTTGGCTGTGGACATCCTTGGTGGTGATTCATAGGAACTGTCTGTATTAAAACCTCTGAATTAGTCACGTCTAATTCTGTAGACATTCCTCTTCTTCTTTTTTTGTTGTTGTCTCTTTAAGGTACCATGCTAGCCTGCATCTGAAGAGAATGAACGTACGTGAGCAGGGTCATTACACCTTTTTTGCCAGGAGCGACTTGGCAAATGCATCCATTACATTTCAAGTTCAAATGTTTCGTAAGTGAATAATGACAGACAGATTAAAAGTGTGTACACAAATAAACATACATATATACATGTATGTAGATGCATGTCAATCACACCCTTTTTTTCCAAAGAGTCAGCATGTGATTGAAGCTGCTGAGCATTTTCTTTCTCTTTCCCTTACTGGCAGAAAGACCTGTTGCTGTGGTGCGATGGGAAAACATCACCACGCTGACTTGCACCTCATTTGGTTATCCAGCTCCAAGGATCATCTGGTATCAGTGTTTTGGAATACGACCCACGTAAGTATAGACGATTTGAAAGTGAGATAACAGTCAATCTATGAATGTTTGTGTACAAAATTTACATCACTAGTTATTCATTTATCTATCTTTTTTCTGTTGCTATGTGCGTTTTGATGGGGCAGGTGCAATGAAAACACCACTGGGTTGCAGTTGGCGATCCCCCTCCAGGCTCCAACAGTGGAGGTTCAGAGGGAGGAGTACTGGGCTGTGGAGGTGGAGAGCGTCCTCACTGTGGGGCCTTCCAGTCAAAGAATGACTGTGGAATGTGTAGCCTTCAATGCTGTGGGCGTGAGCAGGGACACTTTTGCCATGGAGGTCTCTGGTGAGCATTTGATCATAAGTCCATTTTAAAGCCAGTTTGTCACGTGGTCTGTGCATAAGAGTTGATCTTCCTCTTTTGTACAGACAAGCTCTCTACGTCCACCCTGGCTGGTGCAGCAGGAATTCTCGCTGTTCTCCTTGTGCTGCTGGTTGTTCTGTTTTACAAATACAAGCAGGTAAAATCAATTTGAAACCTCACAAAACAATAGATTTTTTTAGCAAATAATGTCAAGGGTCTGATGTTACATTTCAGAAACCCAGGTATGAGGTCCGATGGAAGATTATTGAAGCCAGAGAGGGAAACAACTACACCTTTATTGACCCCACTCAACTGCCCTACAATGAGAAGTGGGAATTCCCCAGAGACAAGCTCAAACTAGGTCTTAATCATGTTTTCTAAAAGTCTGTAACGCACATGTTTGAATCGTTTGGCAGATATCCAGTTGGACCATAACCAATAAACAATATCCCTTATTTTGTAAATCTTTCTTCTAACAGGAAAAATCCTGGGAGCAGGAGCATTTGGAAAGGTTGTTGAGGCCACAGCATATGGTCTGGGAAAGGAGGATAATGTAATACGTGTGGCTGTGAAAATGTTAAAAGGTAGGATCTGCTTTAAACCCTCCAATTACAGGGCATTCAGGTGACTTGCAGACCTAAAATATGTTGATAAAATGTTTTTTAAAATATGGATCTCGAATAATGGCAGCACGAGATGACAGTTGTGGACAATCTGTGCTGTGTGTCTGCAGCCAGTGCCCACTCAGATGAGAGGGAGGCGTTGATATCTGAGCTGAAGATCCTGAGCCACCTGGGACACCACAAGAACATCGTGAACCTTCTTGGCGCATGCACCTTTGGAGGTAAGACATCCAAAACGTGTACATGAAAGGTCAATCAAATGGGCAACATCAAGACTCGTAAGGGCTTGCATGCAAATCCCACAACACGGTGCTTTTCCACCTTAGGGCCTGTGCTTGTGATCACTGAATACTGCAGCCTTGGCGATTTGCTGAACTTCCTTCGGCAGAAGGCAGAGACGTTTGTTAACTTTGTCATGAGTACCCCCGACTTTGGGGAGCACTTGACCGATTACAAGAACATCTGCATGCAGAAGCAGTTCATTAGAAGGTACGTCAGTCATACTGCACTGTAACAGCACAGGAAAATGCTCTGATCTGTGTCTGTTGACATACCATTTCATGTCTCTGTGTTTTTTGCTGTGTGATCATTTGACAGTGACAGTGGCATCTCCAGTGCAGCCTCAAGCACCTACTTAGAAATGAGACCCACCCAGCTGCCCATTTCTGAGTCGTCTCAAAGTGAGTTCATCACCAAAGCTTGAACGACGAGGATAGATGTCCTTTCCTTTTTCTTCCCTACCCAGGTACATTATTCTTTATCTGATTCAGTTGTAGACCCCGGCTGTGAGGAGACTGGTGACTGGCCACTGGACATAGATGACTTGCTGAGATTTTCCTTTCAAGTAGCTCAGGGTCTTGACTTTCTGGCTGCCAAAAATGTAAGTAACCTTTTCTGAGAAAAAACATCTTAATCATACCGCCACTATGGACTCCTCAGCAGCATCTGCTGAGCTGTACCTTGAACAGCTTTAGATGCAAATAAGACGTTTAAGAAAATAACCACAATTCCATGAACTTTTTATTGAGTATGATAATTAATCATCTTTAAATTATTAATAAATACATTTAAATAATTTTTAGAGGGCTATGGGGGTATTTCGACATATTCATATACTTGTTGTGATGGCTGGACATGATGCTTTAGCAAAACTGTTCACACTTGTAAGGACATCCATACCAATCAGACAAACTGTCTGGCCCCGTGTGTTTAGTGTATTCACAGGGACGTCGCTGCTCGGAATGTCCTCTTGACCAACCGCAGAGAGGCAAAGATTTGCGACTTTGGCCTTGCACGGGACATCATGAATGATTCCAACTACGTGGTGAAGGGCAATGTAAACACTTGAGCAGATGACAGCCGCCAATTGCCACTGCGTCATGAGTTGCAGATCAATAAAAGACTTCTTTTGCTTTTGTGTGAAGGCACGTCTTCCCGTGAAGTGGATGGCTCCAGAGAGTATATTCGACTGTGTCTACACTGTTCAGAGCGATGTCTGGTCATATGGCATCCTCCTCTGGGAGATCTTCTCTTTAGGTGGGAACACATACCCACTCCCATGCTCCTCCAGTAAATGATTCATTCTATGATTTGCCTCCAAAACTGACATTTTATTTCTATGAAAAGGTAAGAGCCCATACCCAAGCATGGCTGTGGACTCCAGGTTCTACAAGATGGTAAAGCGTGGTTACCAGATGTCCCAACCAGACTTTGCTCCCCCTGAAATGTAAGCTTGACAGCTTGGCAACATGAAGGCTTCTCACTTTATTTGGCCCACTTTGTGACACTATATCAGTTGCTTTGCTAGCCATGTTTTAGAGAAGCATTAATTGACTATCAGCAGGGTATTTGAACTTTTTAAGATTTGAAGTCCATGTGGCTGGATTGCTTCCAACACCTAATAAATCAGATTGTCTCAGTAGTGGCAGTATGATGTGGGTATGCTTATGAGTAACTGAGGAAACAACTTATAGTGACTCTTTAACCTAGAACATTATAATTGTTTTGAATTGCCTCTAACACAAAAACAACTGAAACTGCAAATGTTCACAACGAATCAGCAAAAAACCCTTTGTGTCTTCAGCTGAAAGGCCCTATCTGAACATCTCACATCCTCATGAAGTGCTTCCATTATTCTTCATTCTAATTGACTTGCTTTGGGTTATCTCTTAATCCTCAGCCCTAAACTTAACAAGATAAAACCTTAAATTCAAGAATATAAAGAGAGTATTTTTCCCCAGAGTTTCATTGGGCCATAGCCTTTGTGTTTGCTAATTTAGTATGGCCATCACACCACCCAGAATAACTGGGCTGTGGAAATGGACTGAATCTGAGTCAGGGCCCAATCATCTGTTGTCCTGCTGTGAGTCAGGCCTCAGTTCTGCCTGTTAGCCACATGATCTCTTAGCTAGGAAGCCATGTAACTGTTATTTCACGGCATTGAAACGAGGCTGGAGGGGCAGAGGTCCTTATGAAGGACTCTCTCATCGAACTGCGTCACAGCCTCCATAAGCCTCTATTTGTCTAATTTTGCTCTATAGAGTCTACCACTGTACACAGGACATGACCTGGGACATAAAGACCTAGAGTTTTTTTTTTTTTTTTTTGCTTCAGGTACACAATCATGAAGCAGTGCTGGAACCTGGAGCCTACAGATCGCCCAACATTCAGCAAAATCTGTCAGATGATACAAAGACTACTTGGGGTTCGAACTTATCCAGAGCAGGTGAGGTATTCCGAACACTATTTAACTACACTAAAATCTTACTTACAAATAAAAAGTTTGATTCCTCAAGAGGAAAAGAGAAAAAAACAAAACAGACAAGACAAGACAGATTTTGTCATGTCCAAACCCAACGATTTAAATGAACTGTGAATATATGTGAATGCACACAAATGGCAAAGATTTTTTAAATTCACGAATTACATGTATTCGACTGTAGGGCTCAGATGAAATATACTTTCTTACTTAATGATCCTTCTCCACAGGTAATCTACCAGAATGTGAAGGAGCAGATCACAGAGGGTGAAGAGTGTGACCAGCCAAAATGCTACAATGGCCCCAGTGACCAGTCTTGTGACCACGAGGAAGAGGAGCAGCCTTTGATGAAGACCAACAACTATCAGTTTTGTTAAAATCCACAAAACAGCTAAATGCTAGTCAATCGATCACTCGTCAATCAACGTGGCTCTGTGAGCAGTGGGAGCTGATGTAGCTTGTGGCCAAACTATTTTTCAGAGTTGCAGACTAGCGCACTCTCAGCTATTTTTTGCCTGCTGCGCCTGCTCGCCAGACAGACAAGCAGCTGCAGCAAAGCATGTGACCGGCCTGTGTGCAGACCATGACGAGAAAATGCCACACACTGACTCCAACCGCTTACATGAAGAGAGGAAACACGTCAACACGTCAAACACACAAGCACTCAAAGCTGAATCCTATCCGACACATACCCCAGGTGGACTGTTTGTTAGCCCTTCTTTAATGCAGCGGCTCTTCTTTTAATGTGCTCTTAATTACTTAATGCAATAATGTTGTTGTTTATTATATCCTTGTCACTGGCGCACGTGAGTCTGGTTTTGAGGAGTTTCAAGTCAGTTTTGTCAGCAGGATCACTTCCTTCTTTGTTTTTTTGTTGTTTTTGTTTTATTTTGCATGCATGGTTTGTCATACAAAGGACAAAAACACTGCATTCTTACTTTCTCAAATTGTATGCTGAGTTCAAATAAGTTTCCATACTCCTATCCCAATAGCTGAACAGTTAAAGGGCAAATGCGTCCCTGCCCCTCTGACTCTAACATGCTAAAGCAGCCGAAGAGAAGGCAAAGAAGGGCTGTGTTGTTTCCTTCTCTTTGCTTCAGTCATAGCTCTGTTCCTTGCGACATACTTAACGGTGGCTGTCAGTGGGTACCAACATGTGATTGTTCTGCTTCAATCTAATTAATTTACCGGTGTTCAGTTTGGTTCAGGAAGAGGGAATGCTCCTCTTTGGCTTCTTTCTTGATCAGATCAAAATGTTGAATAATGTGAAAAAGTTTTTTTCCTTTTTTTCCTCTTCTTTTTGGTTGTTTGTTTATCGAGGCACAACTTAATTTAATCTTTTCTTGTAGCATTAAATGAATTGTAAGCTTCACCAGTGCCTCTATGTAGCAGTCAGCCTACACTGCCAACTGTACAAAGATTGTGTTTAAGATATGTAACTATGGTGATACAAAATGCAGTTTTGCGGGATATCAGCTATTTCACATTTAACCGCATCTGAATTAATCACAAGTAGGATGTCTAATTGTGTATATATATACATATCTTTAAAAATTAAGAGTTACCTTTATTTTCACTTAAATCTTGTAGATTGTAGGACATCATTGTTTCTTTGTGTTTTTTGTTTTTGTGGAAATCAGTTCAAATGCAGCAATTCATTCACTGTAATAGTACCAAAGTGTTGAATAAAGCTTAACCATTGACACGACTGTCTGTTCTTTCCCTCCAAATTTCCTGTTTTTTACTGGAAATCATCCAATCTCCATTTCCGCTGGAAGATTTCCCACAGTATCTGTGAATAGTGCATAACTTTGCATTCTTTGTAGGGAAGTTATCTCTTTTTACAGCTCACCAGTTTTAGTTCTCTAACAGACAAA